ATAAGACGTTTCTGGGCAGCACGGTTTTGCCAAATCGACTTGCCGCGGAGCGGAAGGTTGCCTCAAGTTTTTCGCATCCTGATTCTTGACCCCGCCCTTCGACAGCCTTTGTCGAGCCCGTTTCTCTCGGCGCATGTTGGATGCTGGCATGCTAGACCTGGTTCCAGACTCGGTCGCTGCGCGCGAGGAGGTGGGTGTGTTTGCGGTGTGGAAAAAGGATGGCAGACAGAAGCTCGTGTTAGATTGCCGAGCGAGCAAATTTTATTTTGAGGACCCTGAGCATGTGGAACTCTCGACGGAGGCCAGCGTGGCTTGTCTTGTGCTCCCGGAAGGCGAGGGCCTCTGGGTGTCCAGGGATGACATTTGTGACGCCTTCTATAATATGGGGCTCCCCCTGGACCTCCGCCCCTTCTTCTCGCCCCCGCGTGTCAGGGCTGGGGATCTCGGAGCCTCCGAAATTGAAGGGCGGCTGATTGGGCCGCGCGAGTGAGTGAGACCGCGATTTGCTGTACTTCCTATGGGTTGGTCTCGCGCCTTGGCGTTCTGTCAGAGGTTGCACGAGAGTGTCCTGAGGGAGCGCGCGGGTCTAGGGGATGAGGACCGCCTCGTCGACGGCCGCGTCTCCCCCCCGCTCGCTTCGCGGGTGCATCTTGAATGCGTCGATCACTTTTTAGGTTTAGCCACCTCCGCCGAGCGGGCCAACGAGCTCCTCTCCCAGGCGACGGAGTCGCTGTCCCAGGCCGGGCTCTCCCTCCATGAGCCCGACGAGGCCTCCGGGTCCAGCGAGAGCCTGGGCTGGGTTTTCGAGGGCGAGGAAGGGGTCGCGCGGCCCAAGTCTCGGAGGCTCTAACGTTTGAGGATCGGCGCCCTCGCCCTTCTCGAGAGGGGCATTGCTACTAGTAGGCAGATAAGCATAATCGTAGGTCATTTTACTTTCGTGGGTCTCGCTCGCAGGCAGTTCCTTTCAGTGTTCGATGCAGTGTATCGTTTTGCCATTAAGTATCGAGACGCCGCTCGGCCGCTGTCGGGCGGAGTTCGGCGCGAGCTCCGATGGGCGGTCTGTTTGTTGCCGCTGCTCTGGGCAGATCTTCGGGCCGAGTGGGGGTCGCGAGCGCGTGCGGCAGATGCGAGCGAACAGGGCCGAGGCGTGATGCAGTGCGAGGTGCTGATCGACCGGGCGCGCGAGCTGGGCAGGGATAACGACCGCCGGAAGTTTCGAGCTCGTGCTGGGCGAGAGGGGCCGGCGCGGCCGCGCGAATGCTTGGATCTGGATTCTCGGTCACCTCGTGCTCGAGAAGGGGGCGGTGTGGCTGATGTGCGTTTCGACCCACATCGCGCAGGGTCTGGCCCAAAATGGTCCCATCCTCCATTTTGGGGCCGACCTTATTATTTGACGACGATAGTGGCTTTTGCGGCGCCGGTGCCCCTCGTGCCCCACCTGTTTGTCCCCGCGGGGCTCCGCTGGTCCAGGACGTGCCCCGCGATGTTCTCGACGGTCCGTGGCAGGTCGTTTCAAGCTGGGGATGGGGCCGGGCGGATCGCATCGTGCTTCTCGAAGGTCGGGCCCTGGTCCATGCTGTTCACGCGCCCTCCGGGACAGTCGCATGTTCGGCAAGCAGGTCTTCTTCTTGTCCGACAACCTCTCGTCCGTTTTGGCTCTAACCAGAGGGCGTTCGTCCTCGCGCGGCCTGCTGCGGGTGTCCCGCCAGTGGGCGGCATGGTGCCTTGCCGGGCGCCTGGCGCCGGCGCTCCGCTGGCTGCCGTCCGAGTGGAACCCCGCTGATGCTCCCTCGAGGCGGCGCATCCCGATTGGAGTCTAGGTCAACTTCTTGCGACTCCGATTCTGCCGAGGGCTGCCGCTGGCCGCTGGCCCGAGAGGCGAGGGCTTCAAGTTGGTGCGTGAGATGGCGGTGCCTCCAATGTTGGGCAGCCGCCACCAGAACTGGTCGCTGGTGCTTCACCCCTTTGAGGCGACGGTGGCGAGCAAGACCCGCCTGTTCGACGAGTCCGACGTGGTGGGCGCGCCGGACTTCAAGGTGCTGCTTGACCTGGCGCTGCGGTGGCTCAGGGATGCCACCCCGCAGGGCCGCCCGCTGTTTGCTTTCGGCCAGGCGGAGCTCGTGGAGAGGTTCCGCGAGGCGGCCGCACGGCGCGGAGTCGGGGTGCTGAAGCCAGAGTTGTACATTCTGCGGCCCAGCGGGCCGACTTTCGACCGGGCCGTGAAGTGTCGCACCCTCGGCGAGATCAAGCTCCGCGGACGATGGATGTCCGATGCCTCGGTGCAGCGGTGTCGCAAAGAGGGCCGCGTCGCGGAGCAGCTGCGTCGCTTCCAGCCCGAGGTTCGCGCGCTGCAGGCGCCTGGCGAGCTGGGGTCTCTCCTTGCACGGCCTTCGAGCGCCTGCATCCCGCCCGCGGGCGCGGGCAGGTGCGACCGCGGGTCTTTTTAGAGATGTTCAGCGGCTGCGGGCGTCTCTCGGCCGAGCCGAGAAAGCCGGGCTGTCTGGTTCTGGAGTGGGGCGCGCTGCGCGGCCCGAGCTGGGGCTTGGCGCCCCGCTCGAACCAGCGGTTGGTCCGGGGCTGGATCGCCTCGGGCCTGGTCTGGGGCCTCCACATTGCGACCCCGTGCAGCGCGTGGTCGAGGGCGCGGGGGCGAGGTCCCATCCGTGATCCCGCGCGCCCGCGTCCAGGACCTCCTTCGCGGCTTCGCAGTGATGAACATCTGTTTGGACTGCCCAACCTTCTTCATCCAGATGATCAGTTATCTGTGTGGATCGGAAACGAACTTGCACGGTTCAGCGTTAGTTTGCTCGAGCAGAAGAAGCGCCATCAGAGACTACCATGGAGAATCCATCGTCCTCTAGAATTTGGTTGATAGGCTGATGCCCCGACTCCTGAAGGCTAAGACGTGGCGAGGCTCAGCCTTGATGGACAAGTGCTTTTGTATGTTCGGCGGAAGGTGGAAACAGCCAGAGCCTTTCCTCGGTTATCGTATCGACCTCACGGATGTGGAGAGACAGTGCAGCGGTAGACTATGTTGTCGCACTGGCCGCCCCCATCTCATTCTGTCTGGATTCGACGCTCCTCGAGGGTGGCTCACTAAGATGGCAGAGAAGTATCCTTTAGAGTTGTGCTCCCACTGGGCCCGTGCCTTTTCAAACGCCCGTGCAGCTCTCGACGTTCAAAAATCGTCTCGCTCTTGGTTGGGCTGCCGGGGGCATCCCCGACCCGTCCTCCCTGCGATGGCCAAATTTGGGCAAGTGCGGGAGTTTCGCGCTCCTTCGGGCCCCGGGAGGTTTTCATTGAAATTCAGCGGAGACGTCTTTCGGGTCCAGCGGCGCACTTGCTTGTCAACCCCGGCGGCTGGGAGTGCCGCCGCAGAAAAGACAAGAACATGCATGGTCCTCATCGTCTTTCTTCTGTCTGTCAACTCGTCTTGGCCACGGGCTTATGCGCCTTTGCATGTCATCTGTTTACTGAAGAATACGTTGCGGCATTAGTGAGTGGCCGCGCCCCGTAACTATTTGAGCTCGAGAGCTTTTGCCCCCAGCCCGCCCTCCCGGGAAGTTTCGCGCCCCGTAGGCCCCGGGAGGTTTTAATTGAAATTCAGCGGAGACCTCCATCGGGTCCAGCGGCGCACTTGTTTTTAAACCCCGGCGGCTCGGAGTGCCGCCACAGAGAAGATAAGAACATGCATGGTTCTCATCGTTTGTTCTCTGAATGCCATTTCGTCTTGGCCACGGGCTTATGCGCCTTTGCATGTCATCTGTTTGCTGAAGAATGCATTGCAGCATCAGTGAGTGGCCGCGCTCCGTAACTATTTGAGCTTGAGAGCTTGTGCTCCCAGCCCGCCCTCCCTGGAAGTTTCGTGCCCCTTCGGGCCTCGGGAGATTGTAATTGAAATTCAGCGGAAACCTCTTTCGGGTCCAGCGGCGCAGTTGCTTTTAAACCCCGGCGGCTCGGAGTGCCGCCACAGAAAAGGCAATAATATGCATGGGCCTCATCGTCTTTCTTCTGTCTGTCAATTCGTCTTGGCCACGGGCTTATGCGCCTTTGCACATATGTACATATGAATATGTGTATGTTTGCAGATGCGTATGTACGTGCGTACGTGCGTATGTAGGTATGTATGTAGGTATGTATGCGTGTACCTTCTGTGCTCTCCTTTTGACGTATCAGTCCATCGTTTTTTGAGCCGCCCGAATATGTTTGTGCTTTCGCCGATCCGCTGGTTTCGTGGACCGTTTTCGTTTTGAAGTCGATTCGCAGCAAAGGCACAACGAATACATAACGAAGGACAACGACAACAAAGCGAAACTGAACAACACGGTTGAGCTCGAACCCTGCTCTCCCCCCTTTCTCTCGCACCCCCAAAGGGGACCTCAATGGCAGGCTGGAGAGGGGTGTTTCTGCCCAGCCGTCGCCTCTGCGGCAATGGGCCTCGCCGACCCCATGAATTGGGACACTCGCCGGGGAAAAGGACATCGAGCAGTGGCGATGCCTCCTGGCTTTGCGGTCTGCACGAAAAGTTCTCAGAACATTTCTGGCTGAGACTGTCGTGTTTTAACACATCGCATTTCTGGTTTCTAACAACATGTCGTGGTAGGCCTACGAGACTGTCCGGACAGTCGGTCCCTGCTCAATGAGGAGGGGGTCAGACAAAATCAGGCTGTCCACGAAGGCTCCTCAGCGAGAAAACAGCCAGTGGGTTCAGGCAGTTGAAACAAATCCAGCCCACAAGGAGGGGGGAGGAGGAGGAAGAGAAGGAGGAGGATGAGAAGGATGAGGAGAAGGCCTCCTCTCCGCGTCTATCTCTCTCTCTCTCTCTCTCTCTGTCTCTCTCTCTAGTTTTCCCTTATCCTTTCCCCCCCCCTTTGCCCCCCCCAGCCAACGAGGAGGAAGGGGGGAGGAGGAGGAGGAGGAGGAGGCCTCTTCTCCGTCGCTCTCACTACATGTATTCCCTGTTCTTGACCTTCCTTCTCTCTCCCCCTTCCTCGTTTCAGGACCAGAACAAGTCCCTCGTGGTGGCGGCCTCCATCGGCACGCGGCCGCAGGACCGCGACAGGGCTCGGGCGCTGGTCGCCGCGGGTGTGGACGCCATCGTGGTGGACAGCAGCCAGGCCTTCGCTCGTCGTCCTCGTCGTCGTCGTCGTCGTCGTCGTCGTCTTCGTCCTGTGGATGCCGCCCTCCTCCTGGTTCCGCCCCTCCCCCTCCCTCTTCCTCTTGCCCTCCCTGCCCCTCCTGCGCCTTTTTCTCCTCTCCTCTCTCCTGCTTTCTCACCATCGGCCATGGCGGACTCGGTGGGTCTACTTCAGGTAAACTGACACGAAAACAACACTGAACAAGCAGTTGTTTCAACGATTGAATTCTGATTTGTGACAAATAGTTATGTTAGCCAGCGTGGACTTCAAACAATGATTTCTTGTAATATATTCGGTGCAGTGTAGGTGGCGCAATCTTGGTACGATCTAGGCGGCGCAAGGCAATTCGAAGCAATGCAACGCAAAGCAAAATAATACGACGAGGCGGCGACGTGGCGGCGACGGCGACCACAAGGCGACGGACCCGACGCGCAGGCCCCGACAACGGGCGCCGACGAGACGGTGACGGGGCTGCGATGCCGACCACATAACCGCCAGACCGACGCGCAGGCCCCGACGACGGGCGGCAACGAGGTGGCGACGGCGACCGCAGCCGCCAGACCGACGCACAGGCCCAGTTCCTTATATATTAAGTAATTCTTGACGCTTCGCGCATCCCCACCAGCTGCTCTTCCTCTCGGTCTCGGAGAAGGGATTGCCCTGGATCGTTTCTCTCAGGAGTGAGTGTGCGTCTTCGGTGGCGCCACTCGTACTGGTTCCTGGTGAGTGACGTATTCCTGGCCGTCGGTGTTAGTATCACTTCCTGGAGTGTATTGCAAGCGAGCTGCCCCCTTCAGGGGCTGGGTGCATGGATGTCTCGTGTGGTTTATCCTACGTCTAGTCCTCGCCCTCAGCGGCCACTTGGCAGCGTTGTGTGCGACTTTGGTGGCGCCACTTCCATGCACTAGTTTCCTGGTCAGTGAGTTCTTCCTGGCCCAGCTGGTGTTCGCGGTCCTTGGTGATGGTGCTCTTGGCTTCATCCTGGTGCCGCTCCCGCGCCATTTTGGCTGCGCCCCAACCTTGGTTGGCTAATTATGCATGCGCTCGCTCCTGGACCTGTCTCCTGGCAGTTGCAGCCCGCACCACCTCTCGCTTCCGGTCCGCTCAGGTGCCGCTTTGGCCTCCGCTTTGCCGGCGCGTTAGGCAATTTGGTTCGCGCGTAGCCCGCCCGTCCCGTTTGACGCCGCCTGCGCCGTCGTTTGCGGCTGCGAAAAAAACACATCCCCACCAGCGTGCTTGCACTTCCCTGGCCTGTGGTCCCCAGTCACCGCCAAGCCGGGCTGCGTCTGGCTCACCTTTCGTCGCAGGCTCCTGGGCTCCGGTCCCCTCAGCCCCCGGTGGATGCGACCCCGCTCCGTCCCTCGCGCCTTGGCACTCATCCTGGTTACGTGGGGCCGAGTGAGGCACCCTGGCGGTCAGGTGGCGTGCGTTCTGACCAGTTCCGGCACGAGTGCTTGCACTTCCTGGCTTCTGGTTCCTTATCGGCTGGCCCTATGGGATTCTGTTCCGCCGGTTCACTCAAGAGTGGTTTATCCTGCTTGAACGACCAGGCGTGTCACCTGTCGGTCCGCTGCCCAGACCTCCTGGCGCCCTGTGGCGACAAGGTCCAATTCACGTACCTGGTGTTTCAGCTCCCCTGGTACCCGCACGTTTGCAGCTCATGGCAGCCCCAGCAGCTTGCAGTCTTCACCCTCGGCGCCGTTTCTCAGCTTCGGCGGTTGCAGCACGGCCCCCGGCGCAGCTGCAGCGCGGCCCTGGCGCAGCGGCTTCCACCGGCGGTAGCTCCTGCTTCCTTTTGCGCGCGCGCCGGCAAGTAGTTTCGCTCGTAGCCCGAACCAAGTCGACCCGCTGCGCGTGCGCCTTCGCCTGTGGCCGCGACGGATTATGTATCCCCACCAGCCTGTTCGTTAGCCGCGTTTCTTGACGGCGCCTGGCTTTTTCCTGCGCGCTCGCGAACAAAAGTATCCCCACCAGCCCATCCAGAAACGATGCCCATGAGAGCTGACGGGGGGAGGGAGGAAGAGACACGCATAGTCAAACAGCGAAGAAGGCCGGTCTGGACGGCGTCTTGGGGCCATCTCGAGCCGTCTTGGAGCGGCTTTGTGGCCTCGTCAAGCATCATGGGAGCCATCTTGAACCAGTTTGGACTATATTGAGCCATGTTGGATGTCATCTTGGGCTCTGAGGCCGCTCGGGGGCCTCTTGGAGGCCTCTCGGGGACCTCTTGGAGGCTTCTTGGGCTTCTTGGGGCGCTCTTCGGACCCTCTTGGGGGCCTCTTGGGAGCCCCGGAGGGCCTCTTGGTGCCATCTTGGAGGCGGTCGGTAAAAAGGAGGGGGGGTCCTCGATGTTCCCCCTTCGGGGGCCACGATCCCCGTGAGGTTTGTCAAACATTGGCCCTCCCACTGGCCGAAAAAAAACCTCCGACACCTCGGGAGGGAAGGAGAGGGTTTCCCCCCCCCCACCCCCCCGAACGGAAGAGGGGTTGTGGAAGAGGAAGGAGACCTTCGTTAAACCACCTGTCGCCCATCGGGCTGGTGGGACTTAACCTCCTCGATGCAAGCACTGTGTGCGGACTGTTTGATCCGCTTTGCATGGTACCCAGTTTGTGTTTCCTGAAGTGAAGTACTCCCCCCTCAGGGCTCGCACCCTGTTTCTTCATCAGGGAACGTCTTGAGCCTTAGACTGTGCCCCGGCCCCCTTCTTTACAACAAAGGCCCCGGCTTCTGCCTGATACTAATTCAAAGCTTATTCACAAGAACGCTCTCGCGCGGGAGTTCTTCACAATCTATTCAGAAATCGCGCTCTCGCTCAATTGCTTCCTTTCATGGTTCATGCGCCGTGCCCGCGACGTCTAGGAACCGCGCTCTCGCATGATACTTCCTTGTGATTTTTCTGGACCTGTGCTGTCGCCTGAAGCTCCTTCGCAATTTTCAAAAGGTCGCTTCCGTGCCCCGCCCGCCCGACGCGCCCGTTCGGGCCCGCCCGCCCCACCAGCCCGTTGGAGTCTGCCCGTCCGACCCTTCCACGAGGGTCCACCCGGTCGCCTGCTTGAAGCCCGCCCGCCCGCTTCAATGTCTTTCCCGACCCGCTCGTTGGGGTCGGCCCGCCCGACCCGCGCGTTAGGGTCCGCCCGCCCGACCCACCCGTGAGGGTCCGCCCGCCCGACCCGCCCGTTGGGGTCCGCCCGCCCGACCTGCCAGTCAGGGTCCGCCCGCCCCTCGTGCTTGGAAGCCGTCCCTGCCCGCTGTAATGCCCCGCACCTGGCCCGCCTGTGAACTGTCAGGGTCCGCCCGCCCGACCCGACCGTTAGGGCCGTCCTGCCCGACCAGCCCGTCAGGGCCCGCTTGCCCAAATTATGGTTCTTTCTCCTCCCCCTCCTGCTAGATCTTATTCGCCCTCAATCCTCCTCTCTCGCCCCCTCCTTTCTCGTTTCCTCCTCCTTTTCTCGCTCTTTACCGTTTCCTTTTCCCTCCCACCCTCCTCCTCCTCCTCCTCCTCCTCCTCCTCCTATTCCAGGGGCCGCGCCAACTATACGTGGTGTGCAAGGAGGATATACCCCCAAAGGGACTACGATCGATGACGAAGAAGGCGGTTATCGATGGTTTGAGATATTCATGTTGAATGGCACGTGGGCAACAAAGATCGATCAGTCTTGAAATGATTGCTGCTGATGTTGTTGATGGTGGTGGTGGTGGTGTAACTTTAGAAGTTGCTGGGATTCTTGAAAGGTTGTCGAGGTTTCGAAGGACTCCAGAGTCTAGAGTTTTCCAGTGAGCGAGGAGTTCTTGCTCCTCCTCCCTACACTGTTGAAGCCTCTGATGAAGTTCTGGATGCTTTTAACGACACAATGGGAAGCCGCCGTTGCAGACCGTTTGAATACCTCCACGTCATCCTCTCCCTCCCTCCCTGCCTCCCTCCTTATTTTTTTGACTTGTCTCTTCGGAGGCAGGGCAATCCATGCTCGACGTCCTCTCCTTCCTCCTCCTCCTCCTCCTCCTCCTGTATCCTCCCTCGTCGAGAGGGGCCGCGCCAGGGAGACAGCGTCTTCCAGCACGACATCATCAAGCGAGCCCCGCACCAGCGCGGAGCAGGAAGAGGAGGAGGAGCAGGATCAGGAGGAGGAAGATGACGAGGATGATGATGAGGAGAAGGAGGAGGATGAGGATGAGGATGTGGTTGTTGTTGATGATGATGATGCTGATGGTGATGACGATGACGATGAAGCTGATTATGCTAATGATGATGATGATGATGATGATGATGATGATGATGATGATTCCTCTGATGATACTGCTGCTGCTGATGATGATGGTGGTGGTGGTGATGATGCTGATGATGATGGTGATGACGATGCTGATGGTGCTGCTGCTGATGATGATGCTGATGCTAATGCTGCTGATGATGCTGCTGCTGATGATGATGTGGATGAAGAAAAGGAGGAGGAGCAGGAGTGGGAGGAATATGATGATGATGATGATGATGATGATGATGATGATGATGATGATGATGATGATGATGATGATGATGATGATGATGATGATGATGATGATGATGATGATATGCTGATGATGATGATGATGATGATGATGATGACGATGATGATGATGATGATGATGATGATGATGATGATGATGATGAGGAGGAGGAGGAGGAGGAGGAGGAGGAGGGAGGGGGGAGGAGGAGGAGGAGGATGGTGGGGCTGGTTTTGGGTGGTTCTAAGGGTTTGTGTGTGTGTGAGGTTGGTTTCGGCTCTGCACGTACATTTTTTTGCGCGCGTTGTGCGTCCCGACCTCACTTATGTATGTTGTTTTTCTTTCGTTTCAGGGGTTGTGTCATGTCTATTGCGTTACCGGTCCGTAGGGCAGCACCCTAACAACCTGTTTCGCATGACCTCAGTTGAGTTCGGCGTTTTGTCACACCCATCTGCTGGTTTGGCAGCAATTGCAGTTTCTTCTGCGCTTCACTGCCTAACACCGTCGTGTCGGTGATCCAGTGGCCGCCAATTAGCACCAGTGTGCTTGCGCTTCAGTTCACTTTAGGTTGAGTCTCCTCAGTTTTCTGGCCACTGCACATCTACGTTTGGGATTGCTGTCCCTCTAGCACACTACCTATCGTTTGCACGTTACAGTGTGCGACGTCTCGTTCACCGTGCCTTCAACAATGCTCGATTGCAAGTCGTACTTCCATCTGCTGCCCGCTCTTGAGGACCCTCTGCGCCGCCGACTTAAAAGTGTGCGTGTGGGTGCGAGCCAGATCTCCCTGCAGTGTCAGGGGAGTAGCCTCTCTGACCGCCTCACGAAAGCTGGCTGGCGGCTGTGGACAACCTCCCATTCCAAAGGCGGCCCTTTTCATCCCGGGTGCCACACCGCCTTCGCCCGAGTGCCCTACTCGGCTGCACAGCTTGAGGGGTTCCTCGATTTTCTTCTCCTCGGCTGTGGACCGGGGCCCTCCCGCCGCAGAGGCCCCCTCGGCCCGCGCTCCCCCCAGCGAAGGTGACCCCCCAGCCAGGTCCGGGAAGAGGATGATGATGATGATGATGATGATGATGATGATGATGATGATGATGATGATGATGATGATGATGATGATGATGATGATGATGATGATGATGATGATGATGATGATGATGATGATGATGATGATGATGATGAAGATGATGATGATGATGATGATGATGATGATGATGATGATGATGATGATGATGATGATGATGAATGATGATGATGATGATGATGATGATGATGATGATGATGATGATGATGATGATGATGATGATGATGATAGATGATGCTAGATGGTAGATGATGATGGTGATGATGATGATG